AATTTTACAACTTAAACAAGTAAGAAATTACTGTCGGGCGTGGCCGACCATATGATACCCTACACCAATTGCGAATATTAAATGTGATTAATTTCAATAATGAAGCATTTACGTTAATCTTATATAGGTTCCAAATAATGTCTGTTCATGTACGGTTGTATGCTGACTAGGAGAAATAAAAAACCGATTTCAATCATTTTCAACAGCCTTCGTCATTGGATCTAGAGAATAGTATATGACAAATTTTAACAAATTATATTCAAAATTGTGATCTGTTGCGTGCACACAAGGTTTACACGGTCACAATGACGGACAAATATTTTTGAGTGTTACAAACATCACCACATTATGCCGACTTTTGGATAGATAGTAGTATATTAGACGTAGTTAAAAGATAAAAGGCCGTAATCGGAGGGTCCGGATGTATGGGAGCTAGGGCAGAAATTAAGCCGATCCTTATAAAATGTATTATTAGGAATTATCTATATACATATATAAAAATTAATATGTGTTTGTATGTTTATATGATTGTATATCTGGCAATAGGCTACTTTTTATTTCCGATCATGGCGAAAAATGATAGTGTTATTTATAATTATATCAAACTTAGTTATGCCAATTTTTGGAAAGATAGCAGTATATTTGTCGTAGTTATGAACTAAAAGGCCCAAATCGGTAGGTCCGGTTGTATGGAGGCTAGGGCAAAAAATGGTCCGATCCTTATAAAATTTAATGTCGACATTTATGTTTATATAAAATCTATTTGTGCCAAATTTTATTGTGATACTAGTGTTTATAAGTGAATTGTGGACATTCAAGTCATTTTCTGAAGGGGATTTTGTATGGGGGATAGGGTCAAATAATGCCCGATCATTATAAAAATCGACAGTGTTATTTATAATTATATCAAACTTAGTTGTGCCGAGAGATAGTAGTATATTTGACAAAGTTATGATCTAAAAGGCCCAAGTCGGAAGGTCCGGTTATATGGGGGCTAGGGCAAAACTTGGGCCGATCACTATAAAATTTATTGTTGGGAATTATGTCTATACAAAACTGATTTTTGCCAAATTTCATCGTGATACTAGTGTTTATACGTGAATTGTGGACATTTAAGTCATTTTCTAAGGGGGACTTTGTATGGGGGCTAGGGTCAAATAATGTCCGATCTTTACGAAAATCACTAGAATTATTAAGACATATACAAAACTAAATTTTTCCAATTTTTGTAGAGATAGTAGATCATTTAACATAATTATGAGGTCAAAAGCCCTATTCGGGGGGTACGATTGTATGGGGGCTAGGTGAAATAATAAACCGATTTCAACCATTTTCAATAGCGTTCTTCCTTGGACAGAGAGAAGCGTATGTTCCAAATTTCATCAAATTATCTCCAAAATTGCGACCTGTAGAGTGCGCACAAAGTTTACATGGACACACAGACAGACGGACGGACGGACATAGCTTAATCAGGAGGTGATTCTGAGCCGATTGGTATACTTTAAGGTGGGTGTAGGACCAATATTTTTGGGTGTTACAAACATCAGCACAAACGCATAATACCCTCCCCACTATAGTGGTGTAGGGTATAATGAAATTTATTTTTCATAATAAAGCATTTACCTTGTTCCAATACATTTAAGCAATTTATGGATGAAAAATTTATTTTCTGAAAGAGGCTTTATATGGGGGCTAGGGGGAAATATTGACCAAGCCCGATAAAATTTTGTGAATATATTTATATTTACATAATATTTCTTTGTGATGAATTTCATCGCGATATTTGTGTTTATAAGTTAATTTTGGACATTCAAGTAATTTTCTGAAGGGGACTTTGTGTGGGATCTAGGGTCAAAAAAGGCCCGATCTCTATGAAATTTGGCAAGGTCATCAAGGCAAAACTTAGTTGTGCCGCTTTTTATCAATATACAGGTATATTTAACATAATTATGACCTCAGAAGCCCTTTTCGGGGGGTTCTGTTGTATGGGGGCCAAACTGAAATAATGGACTGATTTTAACCATTTTCAATAGGCTTCGTCCTAGGGCCGAAAAAAGAGTGTGTGCCAAATTTCATCTAATTATCTTGAAAATTGCGATCTGTACCTTGCGCACAAGGTTTACATGGACAGCCAGCCAGACGGACATAGCTTAATCGACTCAGAAAACTATACTAAGCCGATTTGTATACTTTAAGGTGGGAATATTTTTGTATGTTAAAACCCAATATACCCTCCCCACTAAAGTAGTGTAGGGTATAAAAATTAATGTAATGCACGTCACAAAAAAATATTGTTTATATTTTGCATAAAAAGCTTCAAATAATCAATTAATGCACTTTTAAAAAATTTCAAACAAGGAAAACGATAACAAAAATGTTTTCAAAAAGTGCATTTCCATAAAAAATGCGCTTTCTTAAACTTTTTAATATAAATATTATATTATAATGAAAGAGCACAGCCGTAGTATATTGTGTTATAAATCAACAAAATCCGATATAAACTCTCAAAGATATGAACCTTCAAAATTTTATACATTTCAGATTTTTTGTAGTTTTCAAACAAATAAAAATCGCCACAAAACTCGTGTTTTTTGAATTTTTGAGAATTTAACGTTGGTATGTCTTATTTGTCTAATAGAGTATGTGTTAACAAAAAATTAAAGAAATCTGAAGACCATCGGTCAATTCTTAATTGATTTCTCATGGAATTCATGATATACATACAAAATTTGGTATAAATATAACACGCATAACTCAATACCAACTAATGATATCCAGGCAAATATTAGCGCAAATATGAATTTTGTATACAGAAATGTTATTTAAAAATATTTTCACGATCGGTCCATAATATGGGTTCGATCGGTCCCATACAAGCCCTCTTCCTAAAATCACTTAAACGCACGTTACTTATTACCAAATAGCCATATATATTCAAAATTTGACAGAAATATAGCTTTTGTGTACAGACATGATAATGTACAATTTTTACGATCGGTGTATAATTGCTCTCATACATACTTTAACCGTATATAATTATTTGTAATTTGTTTAGTAAAATTAATTTAGTATAAACAAATTCTGAAGCAAAATAAATATAAATATCTGAATTTCCTTAAATCTTTCACACACATGCAAAATAAAAATATTAAAGAAAATGGTGTTTGTAATGCTCAATAAATCTTGCAATTGTAACAAATTTTAAATATTTAAATCTTGTCTTTTTCTATTAGAAAACCTATTTCCACAAATATTTGTTCAATTAAAATCGTATTAATATGTATAAAAGTAGATGGTGAGGGTATTTAAGAAATGTCTCAGACCAAAAAATGAGTACATATACATACATTTCTTAAATCATGCAGTCTTAAAAAATTTGCATTCGTTTTTCAAATCCAAAATGTCATGCGATTTTCTCTATCTTCGAAAAAAAAACATATGATAGTAAGAAGAAGAAATAATAAATAAGAATTAAATCCCAATATTATCGCGATTTGTGTATTAGTTTTAATTAACATAATGTGATTTATTAAGCATTATTTGTGTTTAAATAAATGTAATTCACATATTTTTTATCAAGAATAACGTCTTTTATATTCTTAATTAAAATTAAAAGTATGTATGTATGTGAATGCAGAACTTTTTCGCGTTTTGTGTGAAAAAAATTAACAATAAAACATCGAATATACATATGTACATACTTGCATACATATGTATGTGTGTACCACAATTTATGCTATTCCTGGCAATGCAAAAAAGTGCTTAGTATGTATTTTTCATTACTACACCACCTGTTCATAGATTAAGAAGCGAATTGCACCCTTATATCAGTCGACTAAGAAATATGCAAAATACAAATCTACTATTTCCTAATTCAAAATTCTCACTTGTAAGTTTATCTGCATCCCAAGAAGGATTTACATATCCGGATAATCCTTTTTATATGTTGCAAAAAAGTCTGTAAGTAGGTAGAAATCTTCAACGTTTTACTTGTTTACAATCTGGCATATTTTCGCGGTATTTGGCGCGTTTTTTTATTTAATACGTCTTAAAAAAACAAAAACAATTTGTAAATGTTGCCGGGATAGAATGAATGTTCATTTTCTTGATAAACCTACACGTACACAATCTTACCTGACAGCATTCTAGCATCAACTTACATTGTATGTACGAACAAACATACATACGTACATACATACATATACGGTTTGTATCCTAGACTTCTTTATACGTACCGTATACAAATTGAAATTATTGGGATTGTCAAAAATTAAGCGCGAGTTAAATGTATAGAAAATATATTTAGTTTTTGATGTTGAAAGGGATTGACTGAAGGAGGGAGAACGAGCGTATGTAAATGTGCTAGAAAGAGAGGACAACCAAACTAATTTGTGCAATGAGAAATGTTTGTTTGAAGAATAATGACCGACAAACGACACCAACATAGAACTCAAACTGAAAATTCGTATGAACATGTCGTATCGAACATGATAAAATTCGTTTGACGACTTGTTGCTACAGACATGTATATCAATCATGTTCGAGCTCGCATCAAACTACGTACTTCTAACTACGTACGGTCAGTTTATACTTTCAGTAGAATGCGGGAATAAATGGTATCTTGTAAATAAGGTTTGCAATTGCGCACTGAAGTCGCGCGCCAATATTGATAGCGGCATTGTGACGGTTGAATATAGTGATGGTGAGTAACAAGTTGTTGTCCCATTGATGTTTGCTGCACATCCATATGTACAAATATTCATGTGTGTGTACAATCATCTATATATACGTTTGTTTTCTATGTTGTGTGTAGATGTGTGTGTGTGTTCTCATACTCATCGAAGAATTCGTGTAAGGATTTATGATGTCGTACAATTGCGCTCACACACTTTTGTTGTGTTTACAAAAGGAAAACTTTGTGCTCTTCGCCGCATTTATTACGGCCTGTAGCGCTTCGACAATTGGCATGAAAGCAGAGTAGTTCGCGTAATCAAAATCATATCCTTTTGTTAATCCAAGGAGTGCACAACAAGAGTACAACATTTAAAACAGTCTCGCGTTAATAGTCATCGAAGTACATTCGCGATTACTGTTTTCGGATAATACTTTACATTCGTCAAAGCATACTTATCGTGAACATCGTGGGCTATAAGAAAAAAAATATATTAAATAAAATTCGTGAACGTCAATTTCATTGTTTTAATAAAAAAATTGTAATAATATTCAATATTTTAAATCTTCTAAGACAAATTCCAAAAATAATAACTTGAGGCAATTGAAATAGTACTTAATATAAAGGAGGTGTGTATCTTAGCAGAATTTATTTTAATTAAAAATAAGAATATCAAAGATTAAGCAAAACTTTTGTGCGTTGTCTTAAATAACTGATTTGTGGACATTTCTGTGGACTTTTTCTTTTTAAAATTTAGTGAAAAAAAATGGATATATCAGCATACCAGCACATGAACATACGTATGAGTACCCGGGGCAAGCGTCCTCTTCGCAATTTGACGCCATCCGATAAAGTAAGAGCTATACAACGTATACACAATGGGGAAACTAAGGCATCCGTGTCAAGAGATATTGGAGTCCCAGAGTCCACTCTTCGAGGTTGGTGTAAAAATGAGCAGAAGCTGCGGTTTATGTGTCGCCAGTTGGGGGCAGCAGATCAATTATCACCGATGGCGGGGGTAGAAAATCCGCCTGAAAAGCGTCCCCGCTTCGATAATCACATCCAAACTCCAAAATACCCGACACCCTCCAGTTTTGATGAATTTGGTTATAGTCGATTGCCGTTAAATGGCCTCAGTTTTCCATCAAATGGCAGCAATGCCATTTTAGAAAAAATAGCATTGAATGAAATTATGAAAAAACACATGCCAGCAGATATTGTCATTAAACAGCCAGGTGATAATATTTCCAACCAATTGCCTGGTATGGTGGGAGGGGATTATAACACGCAGTTATCCATGATGCAGAATTTGAATTTATTATCTCTGTTAAGTCCCAATTTGGCAGCTATTCCAAATCTTAATCCAAGTGGAAATGGTACTCCAGATGCTGCCAAAAACAAAATTCCTCCGCGTTTAACAGATGATGGTAAGGACAATACCAAAGGCAACTGCAATAGCAGTAATAACAACTACCAAAACACTTATGTAAATAATACAGCATCATTATCTGTAAAGAATTGGGCTAAGGATCCTGCAGACAAAAATTTGATGAATATCTCAAACACTACCGTTACTAATAACACCATCGGAATTAATCGCAATATTCATGATTCAAACAATAATAATGTAAAAGACAAAAACAGTTCCTTCCCCATAGAAGCTCCTGCGGATGTTTCGAGTTTCCCACCACCACCTCTGCCGTTAGGTCTGTTACAAATACCTAATATCAACAACACATCGGACTCCGAAGCTGGCAATAATAGTGCCTTACTAGAATGGTGCAAAGTTTTTAATGCCAGCCTTAACTTTCTGGCTTTAGCTGCTGCCGCCGCTGCCCTCCAGCCTAATGGTACCCTAAATCCTAACGCTATTAAGAAAGAAGACAATATTCTATACAAGGAACTCACCAAGACTGCAAGCAATTTCGACACAGCAAACAATCCATCAACATTCATTGGCAGCGATGTCTCCAATGACAGCTACTTTGATAGTGAACCAGAAGATTTATCAGTACGATCAACTGCCACATCCAAACTGTCCAGTCCAGCTAATAGTCGTTCCCAGAGTCCTGTAAAAAGCAACGGTTCGTGTTCGCCTTTGCATAGTGATGGAGAACACTAAGATGTCCATGTGAATAAGTGTTTTTTATGTGTGTGTGCAGTATTAGTTTTTACTTTCCCAGTTAAATTGATCCTTATAAACGATCCATTTTATTATTTATAAAATTTGATATAATATAATTATTTTTATTACAACAACTACTCTTACTAAATACAAATATATGCAATAACTCTTAAATCTATATAATAATAACAAAATTAAATTTATATTTTTTTTTAAATTAGATACTATCATATCAAAAACAATATCAAGCAACCCTTTAACCTATTAATACATACATACATCTGTATATACAAATATAAAACTTTCAAATAAACATAGAAACATCTACTACTCGTATGTGTACATATGTATCTACATACATATACGCAAATGTATTTGGATAGATTTAAATGTATTTATACACATACCCATATCCACAACACATCCATGCACACAACCATAAAAACCTTACAAAGATGCATAAATACATAATTTTAATAATAAATATAAATATGTGACTATGTCATTAACTAGTAACTAGTAGAAATTTAGATATCATTTGTCGTTCTAGTGTAAATTTAATTTAGATTGTAACTAACTAATTACCTAAACTTACATACTAAATTAACTAAAATGTTGTATATCAATTTTATTTCACTTCCAATTACATTTCGAAAATTCTGTTTTGTTTTTATTGCATTTTTATATATTTCAGATTCGTGCTTAAATTTATTTGAAATATTTGTATGTACTTTTTTACAAAACATATCATTTTCATACATTTTTGAATTGAATTCTTATGTATATGTATTTGATTTTGGAGATCTAACTATAAATGAAAAATTGGTTGTTTTTTAATTAATAAAATAAAAATCTTTAATTCTGAAAAAACAAACGTGTTATTATTACATTTAAAATCTGCCGTTTTGCTGCGGATTTTTAGATATCTAAATGAAAATTGGCACATAGCTTCTTACCATTATTAATAATGTATTAAAAGTCACCACAAATATCGTGAGCGCTAAGCGAGATATTGGCGATCAAAGGTCACAAAAGTATGTTTTTTACGAATATCTCACTTATTATGCGTCGTTTTTTTCAGTGACTTTTAATCCCTTGCTAATTATGCTAAGGAGGAGATATGTACCAATTTTCATTTAGCTATCTTAAATTCCCAGATTGCACATTTTCGCCTAATTTTCCTGGGGTATTACGGTTATTTAATAAGTGCCTTGGATTATCTTTTCCTTTTTTTCTAGTACTAGTTCTGAAACAATTTTATAAATCAAAAGGAAACAAATTTAAATATCATTATACCTAACACATCTATATCACCGTGCGAAAGCAATTATTGGACCTGAAGAAGACTATATACGCATGATACTAGAGGTCATTTAAAATTAATTGAATAATTTTCGTCAATATGGGTATCAAATGACAGAGGACAATCTCCGGAATTTAAATATATTTTTTGTTTTTATTATTCAGGACGAAATATTTTAAGTAATGCCCTTTGAAAATTTCATCCTTTTATATCGCTTGGAATTTCTAATAAATTTTTCTTAAAAAATATATGTTGAAAACTTATGTATTCTTTACCGCATACTTAATTTTTGTTCCTATAGCTTTATTAGTTTAGCCGCCAGAAAAAAATATATTATTACTCTAATATTAAAAAATACATTTCTTGATAAATAAGAATATTAATTTTAGTAAAATACTAGACATTACTTATTGGACTTGAACAAAACTAAATAGGCGTGAAAACAGTGATACCATACAGAAAAATTGTGTACTCTGTTTTCCATTTTCTGATCCTTTTTTTTTTAAAGGACATGAAAGTGTTAAGGGTATAAACATTTAATAAAAATTTCTATCCTTATATCAATATATGCATTAAATTAAAGGATTCCTGAATATAATAAAGTAAAATATTGTTTTAATTTTCAAGTTGAAAAATGGTAAATAATGACCTTTAAATATATTATTCCTTCAAATTCCCGAGAATTTCCAATATACTTACATATGGGCAATTTTGTGTCAACTCAACAAAATCGATTTGGATTAAATTTGCACCTATTGGCACTATTGGATAGTAGGCCACAAATTTTCAGCTCTAACGGTCAAGAACTACCGGAGTTATAGAGGGTCAAAGTTTCAGATTTTGTTCATACAGGGTTTTTTTCAAATGACTGTAAATTTTCACCTATTGGTCCTGGAAAAAATTATCCACAGGAGTTTAGATAGCTATTTGATTTTCGGAGATTGTCCTATGTCATTTGATACCCACATCGGCGAAAATTATTCAGTAAATATATTTTAATAAATTTTAATATCGTTACAACTTTAAAATCCTTTAAAATGGAGAAAACATAAAAAAATTAAAAACTTAGTTTTCTCGGGGGAGTTTTCCCGTTTTTCCTACCGAGCGCGTCCCCGGGTGGCGGATAGGGGGTGGTGATGGACCATCTGTCTTCCCCCAGTTTTTAGTTTCACTCAAGCTGAGGGAGGTCAGATTGTCCACCACCTGGGAATATTATATTCCCCGCGGACCAAAAAACTGGAAAAAAAACAACATGGAAAATAAAAATAAAAAGTTAAAAGTTACGGTGCAGGGCCTAAATAACCCAGTACCGGCGGCAAGTGTTGATCCACTCGCGAGTCACGTGTCGTCGTCATCCTGCAATCGTGAGCAAAATACAAACCCGTTGTTACACGGATGGCTCTAAATTGGGGGACAAAGTGGGGCTGGGATTTTAAATTGAAGACCCAGAAACAGAAATATACCACCGTTTACCAAATCATAACACAAGCTTCCAGGCAGAAGTACGAGCAATAACAGAATGCGTAAATTGGATTAGAATAAATATGGCGCCCACAGCGCTTAATATATTTACCGACAGCCAGAAGGCAATTAGGGCGGTATCAGGTGATAGAACTAAATCTAAGACCGTATTGGACTGTAAGAAAGCTTTAACTGAATACTCTCCCAGAGGTAAGGTTTACATCATATGGGTACCAGGCCACTCGGGAGTAGTCGGCAACGAAAGGGCAAATGTAATAGCTTTAAAGGGAAGGGAGCTCGAGGCAGTTAACCTGACAAACGCAAAACCATTCGACGCAACAAAAGCTGAACTAAAAATATGGGTGAGAGAATCCCATAAGGCCTCTTGGAATGATGAAACGGTGGGTAGAACCACGAAGATCCTATGGGGTGACCCTGATGAGAGCAAGACGAAAAATCTCCTCAAAATGAGCAATTCTGAAGTTAGTATGATGGTACGTATTCTGAGTGGACACACAGGATTACGAGCACATCTATGCAAAATTGGACGTGCGGATTCAGACGAATATAGAGCATATGGAGAGAACATTGAAACACTGGAGCACTTTCTTGTCGAAGTTAGATCCAAGTATCTTGGAAGTGATGTTATTCCGGAAATAACATTCCTGACTAACACTGATTGGAAGATTCTTAGGGATTACGTTCAGGAAACTGAGTTTCTGAACACTGAAAAATAAATCATTCAGTGAATTTATTTTTTTTTTTTTTCATGATAAGGAGCGCACAATAGGCCCGATAGTGGCCTAGGTGTATTTCTTCGGATTTGATGTAGTATACATCGTCCTATCAACCTAACCTAACCCTAACCTAGTTTCACTTTAAATGACCTCTAGTATTATGTGTATGTCTCGTTCAAGTCCAATATTAAATTTGTATAACATCTATACGAGGTTTAGAAACATTTATTTTTGGTAATAATTCGGTATCTCGGGAATATATATATATATGGTCACCGATTTAATGTTATCTTACTAATTTGAAAGTAAACTCTTGAAACCTCGGCACAGTGTCAGATTTTGCAATTTTAGGGGGACTAAACTCTGAATTTTTAAATTATTAAACATAAAGCTATGAAAACGTCAATAGGCTATATAATTTTTTATCTTGGACTGGAAAGGCACAAAAAGGGGCAAAACGGGTAAAATTAGTACTTTCTTCTATAATGTTAATTGTTTATTCTAACGTGGAAATATTTGTGTTTTATCTCTCAAAACTTTTAAATATATGTATTAGTAAAGTACTGCTAACCTTTCAGGGTGTAAAAACGGGCAAAAAGGGCATTCTACATTCATTTGTAAAAAGTATATTTATAGAGTCAAAATATGAGTGAAAAATTACTTAAAATAATGTCAATTAATTATTAATCTTTAGGAAAATTTAAAACACACGGGTAAAAACGGAAAATTTTTTTGTATTTTTGGTACTTTTTGCACCTTCCATGTTCCAATTACGCCAGTACATGTTACAACACCAATTTTAAAAATTTGTGTAGATCTACACTGGGAAGCATCATGGCCCAGAAAGGGACAAAAGGGAAAAAACGGGTAAAAATTTGTGGTTTTTTAAGTATTTTTTTTTTAATTTTCATTGATATCTCGTAAAATAAAATCCAAGACTTTATGTATGTTTTAAATGAAACAGCTGAACGTCAAACATCAAAAATGTACTAATGCAACATTTGCGAGTTCATGTTGAACTTTTGAAAAAATGTGGTATGCAAATAGGTGCAAAAAATATTTTATAATCCCAATAGATTATAATTTTATTATATGGGTACAATAGAACTCCAGAATCAAGTAGTATTCTATGTTTTTGAGTGTATGAAATAATGTCTCACTTTTTAAATATACTTAAAATTAACGGTTAACTTTAAAAAACGTGGAGACCTTATTATAATTTTAAAAAAGTTATTGCTATTATTAAATATAATAAAAGCTTAAAAAAAATAGAAAGAAAAATTAAAAAATCTTTAAAAACAAAAAAGTTAAAATAGTTCAAAGTTAGTTTCTGTAACGTACTGTTATTATGTTTTCAGTCACATTTATTTACTTTTAAATACGTTTCTTTACTAGTTGGACAATTGTCTCTCATATTGAATTCGAACAAAGGCAAAAAAGAATCAAAAACATTTTGAGTATAGTCCGGGAGTCAAAAAAATTACAAGTGTATTTCAACTTGATCACAGCGAACAGAGTGACCAAACATAAACTATCACAGCATTTTGCTTAATTTTAAATTTTCTTAGTAAAATTTTAAATGATTAAACCTTTTTTGTTTTAAAAGATTTCAAAGTGATATAAATTTTATAAAATTTCTGAATTCCAAACTATTACTTTTAGAAAAAATATGGTCTTTATGTACATATGTATGAATATTAAAATATTTAATTTTTTTTAATAAAAAAGGTCAAAGTTTTCAAAAAATCGGGTAGTTAATAGACCGTAACTCCTAGGGAACAAAAAAGTCCTCCCCTACACATGTATACCCCATTATATCCCAGCAAAAAATTATCAGAAAATGTAAGGGATAAAATTGGGTAGAAGCAATACAATGCTTACTTAATTAAAAAAGGCTTCCAAAATGCAATAAAGTAAGGCAGTGGTTTTGTAATTTTTAAAGTTCTGGTATATCTTATTAGTATGCTTACTTCTAATGCATGCTTTATTGATACTTTATTGATTTATTATGTCGGTGTTGCAGAAAAGTTTTAGAAAATTGATTTTTGGAACTTATTTCTAAATCTAGATAAATTTTGATATTTTATCATAATATTAATCTGTGTGTCCATGTTAACCTTATGCGCACGGCACAGGTCGCCATTTTCGAGATAATTACCAAAATCATCCTCAAATGGGGCAAGTACGAAGCCTATTGGAAATACTTAAAATCAGTACATTACAGTGAACGTCCAATAGTACGTATGCAAAATTGTTGAAGTGTCTACTCTATAGTACGAATAAAGTCACAATTTTTCTGTTCGATAGTACGAATAACGCATTTTTATAGGAATTTTGGTTTTATTTACGTATGAATGAAG